TGATACTAGTAATAATGATAATGGTATTAACATAATAGTAATAATGATAATGATAACATGATAGTAATAATAACAGTGACAACTAAAACTAATAATAATAAATATGACAATGATAATGATGTAATGATAATGATAGCAATAATAATGATAATGATATTATCATTGTTATCATTATGAATATTACTGTTATTACTATTATCATTATTATTATTGCTATCATTATCATCATCATTATTATTATTATTGCCATTAGTATATCATTGTCTTTAGTATTATAGTCATTATAATCATTATCACTATAAATATTATCACTACTTCCACTATCGTTATCATTATAATTATTTGCATTTACATTTTTCTTGTTATTATTCCTGTCATTTTCAATATCATAATTATTTATACTACTATTACCATTATCATTATCACCATTATTGCTATCATTTTCATTATCATTATCATCGTTATGTTTATGATTATTGTTATTATAATTGTTACTATTATTTTTTATTATTATTATTATTATAATTATTATAAAAAAAAAATGTTGCTATCATTATTGTTATTGTTGATGGTATTGGTATCATCATTGTTACCATTATGTTTAACATTTTTAATATTGTTATTACAATAATGATAATATTTTTTCATATTATTATCATTATTAATCTATTATTTTTATGATAACAAAAATAATGATGATGATGATGATGATAATAATAATAGTAATAATAATAATAATAGTAATAATAATAATAGTAATAATAATAACAATAATAATAATAATAATAGCAATAATAATAGTAACAATGATAATAATAATAATGATAATAACAATAATAATAATGATAATAATGATAATAAAAATAATAATAGTAATAACAGTAAGAACAATAACAATTATAATAATTATTATGGTAATATTAATAAGAATAATGACAATGATAATAATAATAATAATAATGATAATAATAATAATACTATTAATATTATCATCATTATAATGATCATTGTTGCTGTTGTCATCGTCATCTTCATTATTGTTATTATTATTATGATTACTATTATAATTATGATTATTATTATTGTTATTGTTATTTCTATAATGGTAGTAATTATCATTATTGCTATTATTATTGTTGTTGTTATTATTGCTATTATTATTATCATCATCAGTAATGTTAGCATTATCATGTTTATCACCATCAACCTTTTGATCATTATTACCATTACCATTATCACTGTCATCATTATCATTATCATTGTTACAATTATCGATATTATTATAATTATCATTATTACCTTTATCACCATCATTACAGTAATGACAATAATAACAATATAAAAAAAAGATAATTCGTTGAAAAAAATACTATTTAGCAACTCTGGCATGAGTTGCTGTTTGGGATTTACGTCCGAGATAAAATATCTGTTTCTTGCCCTTAAAATCCCATATTTACGTCATCTAGTCATTTCTGTGGCATTTCAAATAATTTAAGTTATATATTTTTATTGTTATTGTTATCATTCATGTTATTTTCTTTATTGTTATTATCATTGTTATTGTTGTCATTGTTATTTTCAACATCGTTAAAATTTGTCATGTCATTGTTACTGTTTTGATTATCATTATTATTATTCATTGTAAATATCCCTCTCCTCTTTCTCCCTCTCCTCCTCCTCCTCTGCCCCCTCTCCATCCTCCTCCTCTCCTCCTCCTCCTCTGCCCCCTCTCCTCCTCCTCCTCTGCCCCCTCTCCATCCTCCTCCTTTTCCTTCTCATCCTCTTCCCTCTCTACTCTTTCATCTTCCTCCTCCTCCTCCTCTACCCCCTTTCCTCCTCTTCCTCCTGCCTTCCATACTCCTCCTCCTCTTCCTCTTCCTCCTCCTCTTCCTCTTCCTCCCCCGTCCAACTTCTCCTCCTTCTTCCCTATTCCCCCACCTCCTCCTCCTACTCCTTCTCTTCGCCTCCTTTTTCTCTTCCTCCTGTCCCTCCTCCTACTCCTCCTCAGTCCTCTCGTCATCCTCTTCCTCCTCCTCCCCTTCCTCTTTCTCCTTCTCCTCCTTCTCTATCCCCTCTTCCTCCATCTATGCCCTTTAAACCTCTCCCACCTCCTCCTTCTATACCCCCTCCATTTCCGCCTCCTCCTCTCTCCTCCCTTCCTCTTCTTCCTGCTCATTTTCCCCTTCCCCCTTCCCTCCCCCCTCCTCCCCCCTACCCTTTTCCTCTTACTCCCTCCTCCTCCCCCCCTTCCCCCTCCCCTTCCCCTCCTCTTCCTCCTCCTTTTCCCCTTCCCCCTTCCTTCCCCGTCCTCCTCCTCCTTTTCCCTCCTTCCTCCCTCCTTCCTCCTCCTTTTCCCTCCTTCCTCCTCCTTCCTCCCTCCTCCTCTCACTCCTTCCTCCCTCCTCCCTTCCCTTCTCCCTCCTCTCCCTCCTCATTTTCCTTCCCATGAAGGCCTTAAAAAAACAAAAAACAAAAACTTCCCCCAAAACTTTTCAACCAG